AAGAGAAAAAGAGAGTTCTCGTTACTCATGCCATCCATCGAACAGACATGCATAGTACAGACCGGGGACAAGAGAATAAGAAAGTTTATGCGCCCCTTAGTTGCACAGAATTTCAACCCATAAAAGAAACGACAAGTAATCGATAGAATTTCGCCCTATAGCATCGAATGACGTACACATACATGCACATGAGAGAGTAAAAAAGGATAGAGTTGAAAAGGTTGTAAACAATCGAGAGATGATAAAGCCGTATATATATATATACACACATATCTATATATGAACAATACCAGGTGTGAAAGAGCTCATAGACATGACACATTAAACTAACTCTATATCATATGGTCTCTCACTCACAAATGGAGCACATCGGTGACGATCGTTAAGTCGGAAAGAACAAACGAATATATACATATGTTGTTTATTGTAGTGAATTTATTCTACAATCCGATCAAGAATAATCATCTTGTGCAAATATAATAAATGCTACCCTTGTGATCTGCTTTTTCCTGAGTACGTTTGCCTATAAGCACGTTCAACATCATCCATCTGTCTGAATGTTATGTCTAATACTAATCAGTAGTAAATAAATCATACATACGTGCTTCATTTCTTTATATATAATATATATATATATGTATGTATATGTACATACAGATAAACTTCCTCATTTTTCCTTATCTACCTTTTTTTCTCACTGTAGTTGCAGTGAGAAGCACACTTGTATAATGTTATCAATATGCATAAAAAAAAGAAAAAAAAAAGTCAGTTATATGTATAAAAACTAAATGGCTATTATTTATTCACAAGAATTTACTTTTTCATTCTTATAAGCGTAAACTTAAATATCGATGAAAACGAATGATTCTGTCAAAATATTGACACATACGGTTGTGCTGTATGCATAGTCAGATTTTGAAAGCAGTGAGCAAACGAATACGAAAAAAAAAAGGAGAGCGAGAGAGAGAGAGGGAAAAAAAGCATGCCTATGTGTGTGTGTCAGCTGAGTGTTATTGAATTCGACATTTTGATGACAGAATGATTATTTTCAGTATATGTGCACGAATGTAAAAGAAGAAAAAAAAAAAGGCGAAAGCATACAATAATACATGATCTATATTATTTGATGTATGTATATACATTAGTTCTTTTTAAAATACAATTTCTTATTGTTATTATTATGTTTATTCACTAGATTATTACTTAATAAACCTATAGGCAGAATGAGAAGTTAATTGCAGTGTCAGCTGCTTTTTGTAATTGAATGAAAAAAAAACGTCTGGCAACATTATAGATTTTGCTTTTAAAAACGAATGAATACTGTAGAAATACAATTTCAACTTGGACGTGAATGTCGTTCAGCAATATTAGATTCGGAAGATTATTTAACTTTTGATTCAGTTATTCGTTTAATTCAACATACATTTCCAACATGTAAACATCCGTTTACATCATTTATTTATGTAGATGATGATGGTGATCGTGTAACTGTATCAAGTGAACTTGAAATGGATCCATTACGAAATTTTTATTATCGTATATGTCAAGAACAATTATCATCGAAACCAATTCTTAAACTTCTACCAATTGTTAATCGTAATCATGCTAATTTAACAATTAATACAATTTCATCACCGTCCAATGAACATCATCGTCAAAATAAAAATTACGCTTCTCTTGAAGCAAATGCTGAAAATATCCTATCATCAGGCAATATGTTATCGCTTGATATGCTTGAAATAATTGGTACAGGTAATAGCGGTGTTGTACGACGATGTCGTAATCGTCAAACACAACAAATTCTTGCTGTTAAAATGATTTCACTTGATTTTCAAAAAGAAGAAAAAAAAACATGAAATTGTTACTGAACTTAATGCATTAAATACTTTACATTCCGATTATATTGTTCAATTACATGGAGCTTATTTATATGAAAA